CTGTGGGGAGGGTCAGGGGCCGGCACTGGGGAGGCGACAGGCAGGTGGAGGTGGGGTGGGAGCCTGGGTGTCACCCTGGGACAGACCCGCGTGGAGTGGCTGCATGCAGTGCAGGGCAGAGAAGGAGTTAAAGGCTGAGGGAGGCAATAACGTGTCTAAGTTTTCTGTGATTTAATAAAAATGCAAATCACTGGGTGGAGGACACCCCGCCCCCTGCCACGCTGCTGACCGAGATTAACTGCGGGCTCAGGGCGGTCAGCCTGCATTTGTCTGCGCCCCCCAGCATTGTCCCAGGGGCAGACGGCGCGCCCTCCGCCCGGATGGAGGGGAGCTGGGGGGCGGGGGGTGGCCGTCACAGTGTCGGTGCGTCCTCTGAGCGGGAGGGCCCTGGAGGAGTCTTCCGTGGCCTAGTTGCTCAGAACCGGGCTCGCCTCTGACCTCCACACCCCCACGTCCAGAGGAGCACGGGGCCTGCGGTGATAATGGCTGAGTCCTGGGTACGTGGGATGACGCTTGAGGTGAGGCTGTAGGACGAGAAGGGGCAGCCAGGCAGAGACGGGAAGGAAGAGCTTTCCCAGCCGCGGGGGCAGCATGTGCAAAGGCCCTGAGGTGGGAGTGAGCCTGACCAGGGCAGGTCAGCACAGAGGCTGGTGTTGGATGGCGGTCAGGTGGGACAGGGGTAGTGCCGGGAGAGGCAGAGCCACGTGGGCTCCAGTGGGGCTCTGGGCCTGTCCCACAGGGGAGGGAAGCCCTGGCCGCTGGTGAGACCAGGCCCAGGGACAGGGGTGGGGTCCTCAGTCCCTGAGGAGATGGCGGCTGTGGGGATGGGGGAGTCGGTGGGTCTGGGCTGCAGTTAAAGCCACACCCAACAGGCCAGGGCGGGGGGCTCTGGGAATTGGGGTGCCCGCGAGGTTTGGTGAGAGGTGGTGCTGTTTGTGGGGGGCTTGGCGGGGGAAGAGGCCGGAGTCCCGAGTGGTCAGTGAGGCCACACAGGGCCGCGTGGAGATTGGAAGAGCCGGGGACGCTGACGTCCGGTCTTGGGAGAGAGACTTGGGAATCTGGGGCCTGTGGTCAGAGCGTGGAATGTTCTCAGTGCATCACCTGGTCAGCACGAGCAGGGGCTCGAGGGTGGGAACAGGCGGCAGGGCGGTCGGAGCGGCGTTTGCTGGCGCGGGGAGCACAGCGTCCGTGGAGGGCTGGGTGCTCGGCAGGGAGCTCCCCGTGGGCGTGAGGGTGCTCTCTGAGCCCAGGGCGGTCGTGGGAGCGCCCTGCTGCAGGTCAGGGTTGGCCATGGCTGGGGAGCCATGTGCTGATATAGGGGACTGTTGACCCCTTCTTGTCTGTGGGACGCCCCCTGACCCCGGTGCTCCCCTGTCTTCCTGAGATGGGCCGCTCCTGCACGTCCAGACCCTCGCCCTGTCCCGGGTCCATCCGCTGTCAGGTGTCCAGTCCCACCAGGATGCCTCCCAGGGGTGCTGGGGCGGGGGGCAGCTGGGACCTGGGTGGGGGGCTCACAGCCCCCGAGTGAGAGTAGAATTCTGAGCGTGGTGCCCAAACGCTGGCCCCCCGGCCTCCAGGAGCACCTGCTCCTGGACCTCAGTAAGGCTGCGCCCTGGACACCCGCTCCGCCCAGCACCCGTGAGAGCTGCGGGGTAGTGCCAGTGGGCAGAGAGGCTCTGGGGAGGGGGCAGGCATGTCGGAGACCCAGTTGTGTCGCAGGCAGTGAAGGGAGTGCCTGTGCCGAGGCGGTGGGTGATGTTTGGTGTTGCGCTGCTGCCAGGCAGGGACCTGCACTGCCCCTGGACTCGTGGTGGGGATGGGGGTCCCCTGAGTGCTGTCCCGGCCCAGGAGGGCCCGCATGGAGGCTCTCCCGGGAGAGGGGGTTGGCCGGGCCTGGGGCTGCCGCCTGCCCCCACCTGTGATGCTGTGCCCGGACGCCTGCTTGGGCAGCTCTGGGCAGGGAGTGACCCGGCCCGGGTGGAGGGCTTGGTGGACTTGGTGAGTGGGGAGTGGGGGGCATCCCTGATGGGGCAGGAGAGAGCAGACAGAGACTGGCCTGTCTGCCCGGGGGGGGGCTCTGAAGTTGGGGGCTGGTGTGTCGGGGTTGAGGAGCCTGGCCAGGGAGGGGGTGAGGGAGAAGCAGCCCCCTCTGGTGGGCTGGGACCTGACCTGGGGGCCACGGGTGGCCCGATGCCCACATGAGGTTTGGTGTCTCAGGGTCTGTGGGACCGAGCGGGCCGTGTCTCTTGGTGTCGGGCTGCTGCAGCTGGGGGTGGTGGCCACAGCGGGTGGGCTGGGGCCCGTGGCCTCTCGGTCCCTGGGGCTTATTATGTGCAGGGAGCATTAGGGGACGGGGACCAGAGTCTTAGGTGAGCGCGGGCGGGCTGGGCTGGCGGCATCGGAGGCCCCATGCTGGGCTCTTTGGGTCTTCGGTCCCCCCTGAGGCCGTGTGTATCTCCGTGTCTGAGAATTTGACCATATTCGCTTTGAGTGTGTGTCTAGGGTGTGAACCCAACGATCACAGCTCTGCACGTGATCCCGCAGGGCCGAGCTCCTGGGCCGTGCCCACCCAGGACGGCTGCTCAGAGGCGGGCAGGGCAGCTGGCTCGGGGGGTCGGGCAGGGACACAGCTGGCGGCTGGCTGACAGCACACACCAGCGTTCTGCCCGTAACACTGTCCGCCTCCTGCACTGCTGGGCCCCCTTCCCCGGGCCCTGGACTCACGCCTCTGTCCGGGGTACGCGCGGGTCCAGGGTCAGAAAGAGTGGCTGCGCCAGATGGCTGGGCGGGTGCATCTGCCCAGCGATCTCAGGAGGGGCTGTGCTGATCGCAGGCTTTGATTAAACGACCTGTCCAGGCCGGCTGGGCAGCTGGTCAGTGTCAGGCTCGCCCGGCAGGATGCGTGGAAGCTGCCACGGTGCTGCAGGGGTGGGGGAGGGAGGGGGAGGTGGGGGGATGGGCCTTCTAGAGCGCTGGGGGCGCTGGCACTGCAGGGTGGAGGGCCAAACACACCACTGGCGTTAGAGACCCCCGGCTCCTCTGAGCCTCAGTTCCCGCAGCTGTAGAGGAGGCTGGCCATCCTGGTCTCGCAGCTGGGTCAGCGGCTGGGGGTTCCGCGGGGCTGCCTGTGGCGGGGTCATCCTCCTCAGAGGCCCGTAGTTTCCGTCCAGGGTCTTCCCCTGCGGAGGGCACAGCGGGCAGCCGGCCAGCTGCCCAGGAGCGATGGTGCCAGGCCCACAGATGTGTCCTCTGGCTGTGCTCACCGTGTGGCCTGCGCAGGAAATGGAAGGACCTTGCCCTCGGTGCCCGGCCGGGCATGGCGGCCTGGTTCACCACCCCTCCCACCCAGGGGGCTGCTCATCTGGAATGTTTTCACCCTCTGTTCGGAGGCAGGCGGGAAGGAGGTGGGCCGGGGTCCTCGCCCACCCTGCTGCACGCGGGGACGCATTCCGGGGAGCTGAGTCCTGGGGCCCCTCTCTCCGGCTCTGCCTCCTCATCTGTACTGTGCGCTCCGTGAGGGGGCAGGGGCTGCACTGCCACCGCCGGAGGCCGAGTGTCACACGCCTCTCTCACCTGGCCGTTGCCGTGCTCCTCGGTGACAGTGGGCAGAGGCCCTGGGAGGGCGGCCAGGGCCTCTCCGCTCCGCTTTAGTATCCCCGCCTGTAAAACGGGGGGCCGCCGACTTAACCATCACGAGAAGCGTTTGCAGCCTTGAGGTACAAATGCCCGATCATGAGGAAGTGCTGGCGTCGGGGGCTGGGCCTCTGATGTTTTGCTTAGGAAACGACAGTGCTGGGGACAGAGCTGGTTCTCCTGGAGCAGGTTGGACTGGCACTGGAGGTCCAAACATGGCAGGCCTGGGACCAGGAGGCCTGGGGGGACATTGCTGGTGACCTTGGGCCCTCGTGTCCCCCTCCAAGGAGTCACCGCCCAGAGACCTCCCCCCCCCAGCAGTGGAGTTTGTGATGCACCAGGGCAGGGTGCAGGGGAGGGAAGAGCCTGTGGACCCAGGCGGCGACAGGGTGCTGGCTGCGGGGCGGGCAGGTGTCCAGCCCCCGCCTTCACTTCATCACCCCAAACTCGGTGTCCTCCCAGCTCGGGGAGCCCCTGGAGAGGCCAGGGATCCTACACCTTGGGAAACGTGATCCCCTCCCTGGCCTGTGAATATTTCATCAGCGGATTAAAAATTGAAGCTGAACCTTCGTCGCCTGCTCCGAGGGGGTGGAGGAGGGGCGCCGGCTCCGTTTCAGGCCCGTCTGAGTGTTTTTTTTTGATGATGGAGTCTCGTCAATTAGGAAATGACACTGCTGTTTAAAATGCCGTCGTGCGGCCTCTTTAATTGAAGCCGAGGTGTAATGGCCAATCTGGAGCCGTGAATGAATTGTTAAGCATCAAATGAGAGGTGAACGGCGCCTGGTGGGGTCTGTGAGAGGGTGCGCGGGGCCTCGGGGAGGTCTGGGGCGGCCATGCAGAGGCTGTGGGCCCGGCCTCTCGGGGGCGGGGTGTGTGTGGCTGGCGTGTGTTGGTGGGGTTGTTCTGGTCTGTATGTGGCGGGGTGGGGGGTGGTAGATTCTGGTCTCTGTGTGCCCATGTGTGAGTGTGCAGGTGTGCACGTGTGTCAGGACGGGGAGAGCCTGGGGGGCTGAGGTCTGGCTTCCTGTTGGTCAGGAGGCCTGATGTGTGGGGAGCTGGAGCCCTGACGGCCCCGCAGGAGGGTCCCAGGAGTGATGTGTGAGGGGCTTGAATACAGCCAGGGGTCAGTGTTCTGGGCTTGAGGGCCTGGTCCCAGGGCTGCAGTGGGTTTTGGGCCTGCCCAGGGGTGTGATGGGAACGTGGCGAGGCAGGGGGCAGGTGAGCCGCCCCCAGGCCTCCCGGGCCGTGGGGCAGCCTAGACGTGGATGGACCCTGCCACTCCTGACGGGAGGGTCGGACACCCCAGCGGGGTTGGGCTGGGGGATCCAGCCAGGCCTGGTGGCCGCTCGCCAGGGCCCACCTGGGGTGCATGAGGGCCCGCGGGTGCGTCTCGGGCACCAGGGAGGGCGCAGGGGTCCCACTCCGGGCCCACAGACGGGCGACCCAGGGCTTGGCAGCACCGCCCTGCCCCTCCCCACCTCGCCTCTGCCCAGCGGCGGGCAGAGGTGGCCGCGCGCCCAGAGCAGACCGTGCGAGGCTAAGTGTCTGGACCACCCAGCCTCCAGCCACCCTCTGCTGGGCCTCCCTTGTTTTCCTTTGGCGGGGCCGGCGCTGATCCCCGGCTGCCGGCGGGCGCTGGGGGCCGCGTGCCCCAGCCACGTCCTGCAGCTACCTCCTGACTCAGCCGCAGTCTCCCGTGCGAAACAGAGTCAGGGTGCGGGTGTCATGGGGTCGACCGAGGGGCCGAGTGCGGGGCCAGCACGGGGAGTGGCTCCACGTCGGTCCTTAGCGTCCCCTGCACGTTGTATGGGGCGCAGAGAGGGGCGCGGTCCTCTGGGAGCGCGAGGTGCCCACTCCATTTGCGCATCCCGGGGGTCGGGGGCAGCTGTGTGGGCTGCAGCGCCTTGGGCGCGTCGGCCCCATCTGCTCATCTTCCCCGGCCCAGGGCAGCGGGTCTCAGCGCGGTCTTCCCCGTCTTCCTTGTCTCCTGGGGGACGGGGCCCCCACTTCCTAGCGTGGGCACTGGTTGCACCCGGGGAGGCAGAGGGCAGTTCGCGCCCTGGGTTCTCCCCGTGCTGTTGGGCTGGGCCCCGGGCGCGTGGGCTGGGAGGGTGAGTGGACTGGCCGGGGCCCTCCAGGGTCTGCCGAGTTGGATCCCCTTTTGGCACTGGTGGCGGGGAGGGGTGGGCCCACAGCCAGGATTCCGGGGCCCGAGGCGACGAGGGCAGACCCTGGCCTGAGCCGGCTCTGCTGGGGAGAGGGCATGTTTATTTTCTTAGGCGGATTTAAAGGCTGCTGGAATTGTACTCACGAAGGTCCCCAGAAGGTGGAATTTCTGACAGCCCCGGGTGTGGGAGGCCTGGGCCTGGTGGACAGAAGTGGAGGGGGATCTGGCGGTCTGGGCTGCATGTGTGTGCATGTGTGCAAGTGGGCACGTGTGTGTGTGCGTGTGTTCGTGCTGCCGTGTGTGTACGTGCAGGGGCGTTAGGCTGGTCTCCCTTCGCGTGGCCGCCCTGGACATTCCCCGCTTTCAGCCAACCTTCCCTTGTGTTCAAAAGAATTCAGACTCTACCAAGCGATGCCCTGTCAGCTTCTTGAAACGAGTGTGTCCCCAGCGTGTCCAGCTGGGCCTTCCGGTCCTCCTGAAGGTGGTGGCCTGGATACAGCCCTCCTGCTCCAGACCAGCAGGTCGCCTGCCCTCCCGCCAGCCCCTTCCCAGGGCAGGAGGGCTGAGGTGCCCTCTGGGCAGTGATACCAGGCCTCGGGAAGGGAAGGGGCCATTCCTCCCTGAAGCCTTCCGGTCCCTCTAGAAGGTGGTTTGTTTCCAGGGCTAGGTGTACCTGTTTGGCGAGCCGAGCCGTCTGTGACTTGGCATGCCTGACGTCTCCCTGGTGATGTTGGAAAGACTCATGGACAGCTCCAAACACATCTCCGAGCCACGCCGAGGGTGCTTTTAGAAAGCTGTGTCTGCAGTTCGGGGCAGTGTTCCACAGGGGCTGCAGGGGATGGGATTGGGAGAGCAAGAGGTGCCGTCTCGGGGAGCAGAGGTCACCAGGCCCCTGGAGCGGGGACTCAGGTCTGCCCCAGCCCGCAGGCCCCAGCCCGCAGGCCTCTCTGACTGACTGATCGTGGCCGCCAGGGGCTCAGCGGGAGAAGTTCTGGGGCCTCGGAGAGGTGCAGTGATGGCGAGCAGGGAGATCAGGGGCAGGAGAGGTGCGTGCCGCGCCGTTGCCGTCCTGGGCCTGCCGGCGTCCGCAGCTACTGGGATGGAGCTCTGTCACCAGGAGCTGAATGGCGAGGCTGTGTCCGTGGTCATCATCACTCCTCCAGAATTGTTCGCCGATGCCGCCGCCGGTTACTCTGCATCCCCCCTCCTTGAACAGGCTGGCGGGAGAAGGCCTGAGGGATTTGTGAAAGTGACCCGGTCGGAGCTTCTCACCCTGGCTGCCCTAACCCTAACCCGAACCCTGCCTGCCTTGCCGTCCTTTGAAAGCAGGGGAGCCTTCAGAACTGCCGGTGTCCAGGCTACGCCCTGGACCAATTAGATCAGCAGCCTTGGGGGCCGGGCCTGGGCACTGGGGCTTTTCGGCAGCCCCTGGGTGACACTGATGTGCAGGTATCATCTGGGCCAGGTGCTCCCCAGTATCCTTCCTGTAACTCCGCGTGTGTGTGTGTGTGTGTGTGCGCGCGTGTGTGTGTGTGTGTGTGTCTTCCCAGGAGATTTAAATCTTCAGGAGCTCTGTTGTTGGTCTGGGTCAGACCTGGCCCCACGTCCCGGGCCCTCCACGCTCCTCAGGTGATGATTCCCTGAGTCCCTGATCCGTGGCTCCCGTCCCGCAGACCTTTGCACGCTGACTTCCCTGCCAGTGCCCGTGGGCCTTCCAGGGCTGGCGATGGGCGTGGGCATGTAGGGACTGAGGCCACTAGGAAGTCTCCAGTGGTAGTTGGGGAGCCTGCCTCAGTGTTATGGGGTGTTTGGGCCAGAGGGACCCCCCCAGAGACTGGCTCCCCTGCTCTCAGGAAGCTGTGTGAGCAGGGTGTCTGTTCCAGGAGTGCCCGGGACCTGTGATTGCAGGAGGGCCGTGCATCCTTTCTCCTGCCCAGGTTGGCCTTTGGGGTTCAGGGTGGGGCTGGGGCCGGGCCACCCCCTCCCTGCAGGCAGGAGCCCTCCCCTGTGCCTGGCTCCCCTCTGCCTCTTTCTGCCCCGGAGTCCATCCTCACCTGGGGAAGTGCAGGCCCAGGTCCCAGGCTCTGTGCTGTGGGTCCCCAGGGTCAGCGTGAGTGGTGCCTGGCGGGCTGGGCATCTGGGCTCCGCAGCTGGGCCAGGCGGCCAGTCTGACTTGTAGGGGGCAGGGAGCACTGGCAACTGAAAGACAGATGGTGAAGACCAGCCGGACCGTCGTCCGGGGTCAGGAAGATGTCGGGCACCTCCCCCCACCCCGCCCCAGTCTCAGTTTCCCGATCTGCCCTCAGGAGGCCGGGAAGGTGAACGGTGCTCGTGGCTCAGCCACAGCCTTGGGAATCACTGCTTGTCAGTTTTGGTTAATCTTTGCTTGTTTGGGCCTCACCTCTCGGGTGGGGTGGGAAGGGAGAGGCACAGGCCCAGAGTTCGGGGGCCAGCAGAGCCCGAGAGGAGGGATGGGGTGGCGGCTACCTGCAGAGAGGTTTGCAAGGCGTCCTCTGTGGCCAGGGCTGAGTGCTGCGAGGTCTGGGAGGCCCGGACCCTGCCCCCCTGAGGGTGGGGGAAGCACCGACCTCTGCCCTCGCTCTGTTCTGCAGCCTGAAGGGCGGTGGGTCCTTGCAACACTGCAGAGGCAGGTAGAGACCTGGCCCGTTGTGCAACCTGCAGCTGTGCGGGGAATTCCTCCCAGGGCCCTGGCTCTGCCCTGCCCTGGAGTCTGCATTCTTTGGAAAGCTTTGTGGCTCCCTGGTCCCAGGGGAGCAGAGGCTGTGAGGGTGTCAGATAAGGGTGTCAGCCTAAGGGTGTCAGATAAGCCCTTGGGGGGGTCTGACCACAGTCGGGTTTGGGGGACGAGGTCTGGGATGGCTGCTGGACCTGGATGCCTCCGAAGAGAGGAGGCAGGGTGGTGTCCCCACGGGGAGCCAGAGTGGGGTCCACCAGAGCTCTTGCTGTGGGAGCCGGACTCAGGCTGTCCCAGACCAGGCCTCCTTTTCCTGGTGACCGGGGAAGCATGAACCCTGCTGGCCTTTGCTCCTTCCCTGCCACCCCAGACGGTCTGGGACGGGCTAGGGGCCTTCTCGGGAGGCCGACCCACCTTCGCCCAGCTTCCCTGCCCCAACCCTGTGGGGATGGGTAGGCTGGTCCCAGGTGGGCGGCACAGTGTCAGGCTTTTGGGGGTGCCCCCACTGGGGAGCAGGGGGCCACAAGTTACTCAGGCACTCCGAGCCTTGGTTTCTTCATCACTGAAATGGAGAGAATAAGGCGCTGCCTCGCTGGGTCTCTGTAGGGTGGGTGGGAACGGTCTGGCTCACGCTGGGAAGATGGAGCACGTGGCGGCGGGGTCTGGGGTCCCCGGGTCTGGCCTCAGGCTGGGCTCACCATCTGGGCGTGAGAAAAGATCCCTGGCGGGTGGGCGGGCCACAGGGCGCGAGGGTCCCCACGGCGGGCTCCTCTTCAAGCCCGTCCCCCAGCCCTGCTGATGAGGGAGGGGACCCTGTGCACAGAGGAGGCTGGGGGGGAGTGGGGCCCTCCCCGCCCCCAAGTGACGGCCCTGCGTACCCGGCGCACGGGGGTGATCCTGTTCGTGACTCTTGGACCAGATACCTCTGGGCTTCAGACGGGGAGGGTGGACTTTCTCATCAGGGTCCTACTGAGGGGGGGGGTCACAGCTCGGCCGGCGGCACGTGTGCCCACACGGCCGGGAAAGGCCTCCCCTCGCCCGGGGCCTGCTCAGCCCAGACCCTGATAGAGGGTGTCTCCCGGGGCCCCCTCACCTGCCTCCTTCCCCACCTAGCAGCCTCAGGGCCCAAGCCGGGCTGGGGAGCAGAAACGAGACACAAAGCAAAGCAGAAATCCGCCCCCAGTCCCCCCCACCCTGCACCTCTGCCTGCTTATCTGCGGCCCAGCGGCCTGTTGCAATCACTCTCTGGGGGCCGGGTTGCGTAACGCGTTGGAGCAGATAGTCGCCCGGCGCTGGGTCGTCCGGGGCAGTTGGACGGGTTTGGATCTGGTCCCCGGTGGAGGGCCTGCTCCCCGGGAGGAGAAACCAGCTGGAGTCGGCTGCTGCGGGACACGCCTGCACCCTCCTCCCCGCTCCCCCGGCCCCGTCCTGGGGAAAAGCGGGCTCTGCGGGGCCGGGGAGAGGCCTGCACAGAGCTGGGTCTCGCCTCAGCCCCTGTCCTGCAGCTGTGTGACGTCAGGCCCTTCCCGCCTCGGTTTCCTCCTGGGCCCGGGGGTGGGGTTGGAGGAGGGGGTCTGTCCACAGGAGTTGTGCCAGGCCCCGGACGGCTGGGTCAAGGGGAGGGCGGGAGCCGCTGAGGCCCTGGCGACCCCACACCCGCCAGGCCCCCTGAGGCCCGGGGATGCAGTGGTGGACACGGTCCTGAGCGGCGTTTAGGGAGGGAATGCGCCTCCCAGGCAGCAGTCGGCTCTCTGTTAGCCAGAACGTCCCAGGACGCGGACCTGTTTCAGAAATAAGCAGGGCCACCCTCAGGGCGGAGCCCACGTTCCTAGAAAAGGGGGTGTCAGTCGTGCTTCTCTGTAAGTTGACCAGTGTGGCCCTGGCAGCCTGTGACCTGTCTTACCAGGGGATGAGACTGTGGCGGCAGCTCGTGGCAGGCCCGAGGGCAGCGGGGAGAAGCGATGGCCGAGGAGGAGGCCGGGGGCGACCGCAGTTATCCACGGTGCCCCGGGAGCACGGGAAGGCCGACGGGAGCACGGGCCGTGGGTGGCCTGGGGATCCTTCGGGACACATGGCGGGAGTGAGGTGCGACCCCTGTGTGTGTTTTCGTGGACAGATCCTGGTTGCCTGCCCACCCGAGGGTTGTGTCCTTCAGAGGGGTCCCCGTGGGAGGCCGTGTGTCACTTCTGAGAGGGCTGCCGCTGGCCACCCTGCCCCCGACCAAGGAAGGAGCCGACAGTCACTGCTTTCCCAGGTCAGGGCCCAGACCGCCAAGTTCTGCCCAGCCCAGGCTGGGTGTCCTCACCTGGAGACTGTCCTGGCCTGATGAGCCGTGAGCTGGGCAGGAGGCCACTTTCAGGCAGGAGGTAAGGCGAGGACTCAGGGTCTAGTTGGGGCGACGGGCAGGACGTGGGCAGCTGCAGTCCAGGGTGAAAGGGACTCCGTCAACCTGGGCTGGGGTGGAGCTTGGGGGAAGGCTTCCTGGAAGAGGCAACAACCTGCAGGTCTAGATAAGGGAACGGATGGGGGAACAGCATTTGCAAAGGCCCAGAGGTGAAAGGGGACTTCTGGGTTCTTGCGGGGAAGTCAAGGCCTGAGCCTGGGCTGGCCCCAGAGGGCCTGTGCTGGGTCTGGACTTGACCCTGTGGGAACCCTGGACGTGTTGTATGCGGAAGCTAACAAGGTCCAGTTCCCGAGAATTCTCCAGGAATCTGGGTTTCCAGGCTTCCCTCTGGTGCTGTTTCAGTAGAGCAGTGCTGCCCGCAGGCTCTCCCTGCCCTTGTTGTCAGCAGGATGGGGCAGGACCGCTCAGCCCTGCCCGACACACGCTGCTCTGGGGCAGGCCTGGGCCAGGGCTGGGGTCTCCGCGAGGCGGTGGTGGCAGCCTCGGGAATGCCGGCAGGTCTGAGCCTGGCCTGTGTGTGAAAGCGTGCTGTGCATGAGGGCAGAGGGCCAGGAGCCCCGCAGTTCACAGTTCACTGCTGCTCAGGGAGGGCTCAGGGAGGGAAGGGGAGGGGGGTGTCCCAGCATCCCCTAGAGCTTAGAAAAGTGGAAGGAAAGAAGGGGTGCGGGGGAGCCCTGTGGGCCAAGCTAGACTCGCCGAGAGGCTCACACCCCACGTTGGGGGGGATTTTCATTAAGCCTTGTGTCACCTCCCCCTTTCCAAGGCAGAGGGGCCCGTTCAGTTCAGGGAGCGTTTGAGCACCTCCTGGTGCAGGAGAAGTTTGGGGTGAGGCCCAGGAGGAAACAGGGTCTGCAGCAGAGAGTGGGGGGGCCTTGGGGGGCGGGTCTCCCAGGCTATCAGTAGGGACAGGCGAGGAGAGTGAGGTGTTCCCTTTGGGCCACTTCCCCGCCTAAGAACCAGATTTGAAACCCACCAGTCTCAGTGAACATCTGGGGAAACTGAGGCCCAGCAGTGGATGCCCGAGGCCACGCAGAGCCTGGGAGGGCTGCAGGGCCCAGGCGGCTTTGCTGGGGCTCCCTTGTCGGGGCTGCCCTGGGGCCTCTCGTGTTTTGGAGGGCACCTCTGCTCGTTATTCGCCAGTAACCAGCTAATTAGTCATGCGGGGGGTGCCTGCTGCCCCAGGCTGCCCCTCCCCGGGCACTTTTTTCTTCTGGCTTCACTCCCTTTCCTTCTCCATCCCTCTTGGCTCTCTGGCGCTCCTGCCCTGCGGTGCCTCGCCAGCTCCCAACCCCCCATCTGCCCAGCTCCCAGCCCCCAGCCCCCCAGCTCCGTGGAAAATGGATTCCATAAATCGTCGTCCTCATTCTCCTCTGGGCTCTGCGCCCTCTCAGGGGACACTGTGTATGCCTTTGTCTGGAGGGTGCTGGGCTGGGGAGGGTGGGACCCCAGGGGAGGAGGCTGGCCCCCACTCACTCTGCTGAATAAGTACTAAAAAACCCAGTAATCGTTTGTGGCCTGAATCCCAGGAGAGGGCAGGTACCTGTGGCTCTGGGGTCAGAACCAGCCGCGGTGGAGCCCTGGCGGGGGCAGGTGGCAGGCGGCCCCTCCTGTGGCCACCCCCGCCCTCCCCAAACACACAGCCATGGTTCGGGAGGTCCTGTGACAGCCCTTGGTGCCTGGCCGACCTCCTGGCCACTTCCCCGTGGGCTGCTTCAGGCCATCTGTCTAGCTGGGCAGGGCAGCCCGGGGGGCTCTGGTGGGCCTGGCCTGTGAAGGGGAGGAGCTCACGCACTCAGGCTCCTTGTCGCCCCACCAAGGCTAGGCGGAAGGTTCTGGGGCCTCCCGGGGTCCCGGGCTGGAGAGGGGCAAGGAGCCAGGCAAGGCGGTTGAGCCGGGGTGGGACTGGCGGCGCTGAGTGCCGCGTCCGGTCCTTCAGCCGTGATCCGGGCTGGTTTGGTCATGGCCACTTAACCCCCCAAGAGGCAGAGGTGGCAGGAGCCCCCAGGCTCTTACCTAAAGCCCCTGGTCTCACTGTCTGGCCGGGGGATGGGGGCGTGTGTGTGGGGGGGTGGTCCCAGGGTCCCCAGGCCCGGGCTGGGAGCCACGCGCTGCTCTCGGTGGCCTTGCCCAGGCTGCGGGGTGAGGGGTCGGCGTCCGGCCGCTGCCTGAGCTGGTGACGGGCTGCAGATTCCCGTGTGGTCGGGGCCAGGGCCGAGCTGGCAGGAAGCAGCTGTTCCTTCCCCGCTCCCACCCGTGCTGGTCACGGGACCGAGCTGTGACAGTGAGGCCGGGTGTGCCCTGTGGCCTTGCAGAAGTGCTGGGTTCGAGATGGCATCCCTGAGCCCGCCTCCTCGTCTGGAGGACAGGCGGTGGGGACGACGTGGGTGCCGCGCCCTGCCCAGCACCCCTCGTCCAGACGCTGCTTCCAAGCCTGTTGAAAGGTCTTCAGCAGCAGAGGGGCCCCCGCTTCGGTCCCAGGGTCT